TATATATATATATATATATATATATATATATATATATATAATAAAGTTCACCAAATGAACTTTGAGTGCGCGATTGACAAAACACGTATTTCCGAGCTCATGGCATGGCTTCGTAGCTCAGCTGGTAGAGTGCTTACTGCGTTTAAGCATGCTGTTTCTGTCGCTGGTTCGAATCTAGCCGAAACCCTGATTTTTCACAATTGGGTCTCATCTAACATATTGGTCGTCGGAACAGCGGTACCATTGATACAACGTACAAACGGACAAGCACATATGACTGTTACGGAAAGAGAACAGAAGTAACTGAAGCCGCACTGATACGACCTCCAACGTGAGATTGGCAACCAATAGGAATCATGCAGTGTTGACAACCAAGTAAAAGTGGCGTACATGGATGTGTCATAAGCGTATGTGCGCAGTCATTCCAATGCCAGTAGAACTGCACGTGACAGTTCTGTAAATCAAATAAGTGTGCACAATTTTCCGTTAGAAATTAAGAAAAAAACATCCAATAAACTATGCTTTAGTGTATATATTGCTGATGCAACGAACGATATCGTATTGTATGGCTGTGATGTAGTTATCTTTTATAGTGGCTATGTAAAATCTGTTAACATGAGCGAAGTGGATAGAACGTACACGATCACGTTAATCGGACTACACCGCATTTGTACTTTGTAAGTTTAAACCGGTACAAGGCCGGCCACGGTGGAACATCGATCTGAGAATAAGCGTCATAGGGGAGGGGTGTTGTGGGATCACCATTTCGTGCTGTTGTGTTGCCGCACTCTGTACAGGCTAACAGTCTGAGGTGGTCCATTTCCACTCGTACTAACGGAATGTGGACAAGGTACACGCCACTTACTAGTAAGTCGCAAAGTCGTAAACGATGTCCGTAGGATAGGCGGATTATAGCGAATAAGCTCTTCGGCTCCTAACACAAAGTCTGGAAACACCACCCTCGTCCACATCATCTCAACCTGAACAGCCAGGATGGAATTTTGGTTTCAGAATGGGTGTGTGACGTTGATTTATTGTATGGAATATAAGCATCAGCCATTAAAATCCATCAGCTTGACCTTGTATATATCCACCCCGGTCGGTAGAGTGTGATCAAGCCAAAGTATTGATCTCACTTGTCCCGTCATTAAGGGTACTCATTGACTTGTTATGCTTCCAGTTGCGACATACTGCCCAACAGAGAGAGCGGCCCCATTCCCGTCGGTCGCACATGTGACCATCTTCTTGATCCTGACGTGCTGCGCGTGTCGCGACATCAGAGGTGCACCTTGCATCGTCTGTCTTCTATTATACATAGTTTGCCATCTTTCTGTATGCGTGCGTGTACTTTGTGAATCTTGTCATGTGACTTGCATGAAGCGACACCATATCAAACGTTCTACTTTTGGGATCGATCACCTGTGCTGAACGGGATATCGCTTTACGGGTACAATGACATACGACGTCAGTTGGCGGTGGTAATTAGCTAACCAAACCAAAATGGCAGGTCGCCACTTTACCGAACCACCATTGGATGCTGTATATCACATCTTCCAACTGGAGAGATGCAACGCGAAGGAGGAAGTGGTTGACGGTGAATGACCTTGGATTGAGATGACAAACGCTTACTGCGATTAGTTAATGTGAAGCTGTATAGCACTTCCTCTATTTAATGTCGCTTCAGGATCGACCCGCGATTGAAGGAATAGATCCAAATGGATTGCGTATCAAACGCACATGCGGGGTTCTGATGTTAATGAAAAGTCACAGATAGCAGCGACGCCGTAGAACAAGTGCGACGCTACACTTCGTTTCCGTGACAGTGGGCGAGGTTGGTTTGGACTGATTGCGTCCTGTTCTGAACTCCATATAAGAGATAGCCGTACTCGAGTATCGGGACCTACTCTTAATAGACTTAGACCACTTCTGGCCTTACCTGCTGTTCATGGTAGCGATGGATTTATCCATCTGGATGAACGCAACAAGCGGACTAATGTTCCTCAGAAACACGACGAATGTTCACTTCAATGAAAATATGGTGCAAAACCACTCGCTGTGTTTGGTTGATAACTCCAAGTGGATCTTGCACAGCATAAACGTAACGTCACACATCTGTCGGACTGTAAAAACACTGTTTGATACCGAGATAGGTTCGAACGCTGCTCTATTATCAGATGTTAGTTCTGTTGAGCACGCCTGAGATCTTTCAGGTTGTAATGGAGATCGTAGAATTGGAAACCTACTTCGGCCAGAATGCATACTCATCGATGTACCAGTCTCTTATATTGATTTCGTGAACGGTACGAGTGCATGCTATTGTCAGTACCAATTAAGAAGTGACCATAGACTGAAGAGAACGTGCTAGAAATGAAGTCATGGTTAGAAAATTGATGTTTCCTGACTTGAACATGTTCAGTAGAGGGGGGTGCGTCTTTAAGTCAGACAACGCGTTATAAATCTACAACCACACGGCTGCAGTCTGATAGATTCCGTGGAGCCATACCACCACCCACGACCATACCACTCAAACTGGGTCGATCGATCGATATGGCGTGATGCGTCCTGGCTGCTTTGTTAGGAGATGCGCCTCCTAACAGGTTCATACCAAAAATCATAATCTGACTATTTCTTCCTGTTAATTTTCAACAGATAAATTTGCCAACAGACATCTCAGATTGGTCCCACGTTTTCCACGACGTGCCCACCAAGTATGTACTCTGTGGTATCACCAGACAATCTCGTAGGCCTATGTTCACATGTTCTTCAGATCACAAAGCTTCAGTCCCTCTGTCTCTCAAACTATAATTGTACCAAACAAAATTACTGACTTAAAATAACCATTGGTTAGCAGTTAACTCCATAATATTCTTTAATTTCTTGTTCTTTCAAAAGATTGTAAACTTATGAATCCGCTGACTGTATTGTCGTTGAATGTATTGGGCATCGACTTCACTAACTCTAAATGCAGGTACCAAATTGTTGTTAAGAGAGCCGCAGAAAAAATGGAGTGTACCCCTTTGGGGCACTTAAATACTTTCCTTGCGGACACATGTGCACAAATTTCACCTTTGCTTTCGTGTACGAGTGCTTATAGCCGGATTCGTGTGAATGGTATTCAAGGATCGTTCATTGCAGTCGGCGTTGTCTCCCAGTCTTCACCCTTTATTTCAACTTGGGTATGAATTAAAATATCAGGTGACTGAGTAAACTTGCTCGTCCGAACAGCGTCGTAATAGGTGGATCGCGGACAATCTACTCAACCACGCGAGGGTGTTGTTTTCTCCTCAACTACTGAGTCCGCAATAACGACTATTTGCCAAATGGTACTTCCATGCAGGATGATCGTGTTGATTGATGTGATGCAAGTTTGATTCGGACGCACTGTGTGACCTTCACAAGAGCAATGTGGTACATACATTTCATGTCGGACTGATCAGTGATCCTGAGACCCACCGCTTTTATGACGCACTGTCAGCAATTGTGTTTCCCCTAAACATGATTTTGCAAATGCTAAGTTTATATAACAGTTTGCATTTAAATAACTATTAACGTCAACACCTACACGGTTCCACCAGTCTATCAGTAGGTGTTCTCCACAGACTACTAGCGGAGGTCAACAACAGTTCCTGTACATTGTTTAGACAGGCCCATTTGTGTCCTGAATGGATCCCTGTGCGCACCAAGGGGGTCTCTAAGTTAGTGTGGCCTTCAGTATGGTACTTAGTCATTATTGCTAAATTTCATAATGGAGGTAGTAGCGTTTGTGCCTGGAGTCTCATGCGATAGAAAACCAACGAATTTATCCACCTTCAACCACGAGTGTCATTCTCGAAGTGTGAGTGATTTATTTTACCCACAAATCATTCTTTAAGGCACGTTGAAAGCTGTACAGTTCACCTGCGGGCTGTCCACTTGTCATAAAGTAAACTGGAGTTGCTTGAAAACACACTCATTCGTCCGTACTACAGTGCTACTCCGCTAAAAACGGACATCCTTATCTAACAGAAGACTAAAACCTGCCCTGATTATTTTTCTCTAGAACCTTACGGGTCTTGAAACTCCCCTATGACAGTCACATTCTCCGAACCGACAACTCCGCTTGTCAACATTACTACGACTAAATAACCCATCCCTTTTGGTTCCTGTCGACAAGTCTGCGCTAATTATGGGGGCTACATCGTACAAGTCCACAGATTTAATAAGCTATACTGCATTTGGTTATCATTGTAGGACGTATCGGAATCAGCCTATCATCCTCAAGGCTATAGGTATACCCATGCGTCACGAGCTGATTATCTCACATGTACTTCGCCGTAACCAGAGGTGTGCATGTGCGTATTTCTTCAGCACAGCGAATCATCTATATCGTTCGCTTGGGGAGCAGAGACACTTAATTCTATCCTTGCTCTTTATTGAGATAAGCTGAAGGAGGGAAAGAATAGTGCAGCTGAGTTAAACATCTTTGACTGATTTTGCCATCCGCGTGAACCATGGTCCGGATTGTTTGCCTAATACGAGTATCACTTGCAACAACCAAGAAGACTATCATCAGAGAGAACAACAAGAGCAATAACATAAGATCTGCCTTGGGCTTGTTTGCAAAAGACAATGACTCACGTTTACAAGGATGTCCATCGATTTGATAGTCGTAAACTACCAACT